CGGGCCCCAGGGGGGGAGGGGGGGGGGGGGGTGGGGGGGGCGGGGGGGCCCGGGGGCCCCCCGGGCCCCAGGGGGGGAGGGGGGGGGGGGGGTGCTTCGAGGCTGAAGGGTCACCACGGTGAATAACAGCAGGATTAGGACTCAGGGAAGGAAACGCCCGGGAGAGGAAGTTGAGGACAAATTTTAAAAGACTTATTGCAGCCTCTTCTTCCCGGAGAACCTCTGTACCCTCTCACCTTTCGATTCTTAAAGCAAATTAAGGGGCGTTGAATAAACGGTTTCAGTTGCAGAATGTGACTGTTCCCGATTCCCTTTCCCTTAATTGACTTACAATCCATACAAATCACTAAGGAGCCTGTTACAGATGCATATTCTGGCTTCCAGTCCTTCCCCACCCAACCCTCACCCCCGGATTCAAATTCCCTAGCTATCTGCCACGGGCTTGTCAGGCTGGAATTGAACTGCTGTGCTGTGCTTCTCGACATTTTAGAGACACAGGCTTCCTGAGTATCAGGAATTGGCTGGGTCTGTGAAGAAAGCTTCTGCCTTGGGCTTCTGTGAATTCTTAGGACTGTCCTCGCAAAGAATTTGACCTTGGGCAACCTCCTTAACTTCCCCTGGCCTCCATTTTTTATCTAGTGAAATAATAATTATAATCAAACCACAGAGGGTAATTGTGAGGGTTAAATATGGTCCTGCATCAGAAAACATTGTAGGTTGTTATGCAGTGTTCACTGATCCTCTTAAGAAGCAGCAGGGAAAGCTCACAGGACTTGGAATCTACCTAAGCCTTCCTTTCTGTAAATTTAGTGAAAATAATACCAACCTTAAATGGTTGATTTGGAGATTAATTTAAGAAAACTCAAAGATTTCAGTAAATGTTGATTAATTCATTTAGTAAGGGACAGGAACAGTATTTCCATTTATCCTTTTTCTATTTTGACTTTTATAGTGAATCCAAACTTTTTATCCAGACATTCCGAGTGATCTGTGTGGTCCGTAATTCATAGGCTATTTCCTCCATGGACTCTTTCAGGTACTATTGCTATTTCTTTTTTATGTAGAGAAACTGGAGATTGAAAGAAAATAATAAATTGGCACAAGGTCACACAATTAGTGAATGTTAGAACCATAATAAAATCCAGTTCTGGGTCTATGCTGTGCATGTTAGGAACATATGTTTTTCCATTATTTCCATGTTTTGGTCACCAAGTCACTTTACTTTCAGTGAAGAGCTTTAGCGTCTATGACAATTACTTATATTATCAGTTTCTATAACAGCTATTGCCATTTTTCTGTATAAACAATTATTTTTACTGCTTAGGAAGCCTCTAAAGGTGTGTCTTGAAGCATAGCTCCAGCAAGCAGGTACCTTTTAAGCTATTCAAGGTCAATATGAATACAGACTCAAAGGAGGTTTTATCTCTGGATGTTCAAGTTCCTGAGGTGTGGGAAGAGCTTCTGACAATGAAAGTGGAGGCAGAAAGTCACCTTCAAAAGCAGGTATCCAGGTTGAAGCGCAACAATCCACTGGCAAGGGAAATCTTCCGAAGGCACTTTCGACAACTCTGCTACCAGGAGACCCCTGGACCAAGGGAGGCTCTTACCCGGCTCCAGGAACTTTGCTATCAGTGGTTGAGACCACATGTAAGCACAAAGGAGCAGATTTTGGATCTGCTGGTGCTGGAGCAATTCCTCTCCATCCTGCCCAAGGAACTCCAGGGCTGGGTGAGGGAACACTGTCCAGAGAGTGGAGAAGAGGCTGTGATTTTGCTGGAGGATCTGGAGAGAGAGCTTGATGAACCACAACATGAGGTAGGAAGGGAGATTTGTGAAGGAAAACTGTACATGTGGGATACCAAGGATCCTTATATCCTTTGTTTTGCATTCCCTCGACTTTGGTAATAAAACAAGACCCTCCCTCTTGCTTCCTTCTTTCTGGGAAGTGTTTCTTCAGGCAATTAATTTCTTAAGAAGTCAAGTCTTGTCTCTCTGTCCCCAGACGGTAGTCCACAGACACGGACAAGAAGTCGTCTCTAAACAGATAGTGACTCTAGGGGAGCACACGTCACTGAGCCTTCGGTCCCAGACTTCGGAGTCCCAGCTCACATGTGACCCTGCTCAGAAGTCCCATCCTTTTGGAGAAACAGGTGAGGGACAGGATTTATCAGATGTTGAACATATCTCACCTGGTCAAGCAGAAACAAACAAAAGAACCCAGAGCTAGGGAAACGGGATCCAAAGACTCCTTACCAGACAGCAGCAATGCTCAGTGCTTCTGAGTGCCTAGTGTGCTCATCTTTGTCCCCTCCCTCTGGATTCAGTCTTCTCCCTGAGTACCATCCTGGAAGCTCTCTGGACTGAGGTCACATGGTACATTAGGAAAACTTTCAGGAATCACTGTGGAGCACAGCTTTAGAGAATGGGCTTCAAGGTTTGGCAGACATAGGTTCAGATCATGGCTTTGCCTCATGGAAGCTGCTTGTACGGGGCAGGTTACTTAATCCCTTGACTCAGTTCCCTCATCTATAAAAAGGGGTTGGTAACAGTATTGTCTTAGTTTACCCAGGCTGCTGTAACAGAATGCCATGGAGTGGGTGGCTTAAACAACAGAAATTTGTTTTCTCACAGTTCTGAAGGCTGGAAGTCCAATATCAAGGTGCCATGAAGTTTGGTTTCTGGTGAGGCCTCTCTTCCTGACTTGTAGATTTGCATCTTCTTGCTGTGTCCTCTCATGGCTTGTCCTCTGTACATGTGCAGAGAGAGAGCTCTGGTGTCTCTTTCTATTCTTATTAGGACTCCAGTCCTGTCAGATTGGGACCACACCTTCTGACCTCATTTAAGCTTAATTACCTCCCCAGAGGCCCTATCTCCAAACACAGTCACACTGACCATAACATATGAATTGTGAGTGGACACAATGTAGTCCATAACAAGTATGTATGTCAGAAGGTTGTAGTGAGTATCAGATAAAAACAATTTATGCAATTTATGGAAAAACAATTTATGGGATGAATTATGCATACTACATGGTAGCTATTCTTATCAGAAATCACCAGTGCCACCCTTGCTGATTAGGGTTCTCACTTACAGTAGGAAGATATGAGATACTGCTTAGTAGGTGGCAGACTATATGGGAGAATTCAATGGAATCAAGGATGTTGCCATTTCCTTGTATGTAATCTCCTTAGTGGTGACAGTGGCCACCCTTATGGGTATAGTAGTGGGGACTTGGGGCTAAGTCAGCTGTGACTAAGACTAGCTGAGAGCTAAGTCCCATTCTAGCTCTCTCTGCAGGAACTGGCTTCAGCTTCTAATTTTTTATACAGAACATCATAGCTTCTTACTGACTTTTTGTTAACTTTCTGACAATCAGTCTACAACAGGGTTCTGCCTTTTCAGTTTCTCATTATGTACCTATGTGTCACAGCCACAACTTCCCATGCCTCTCTACCTCTAGCCTCTTTATTTCATCTGCTCTAGCACCCATACAGTTGTCCTGGATTTCTATTACATGGAGCACATCTCTTGAATTAATTAAAATGTATTTGTTGAGTAAATTCTGTGCACACTGCAGACCTGCATTTGGCTCCCATGACCTTGTCTGATAAAAATTCCTCTGGTTTTCTTTTTTAACTTCTCAGTATACAATGTAGTTGATTTTCATGTCCCTTTACCCATTCCTCTTTCCCCCATCTCTCTGTCCCCTCCCCCTCATCTACATTATATCTGTTCATTTGTCTTAACAAGTTCAAGGATTTGTTGCGATTGTTGTGTCTTCTCCCCACCCCCACTGTTTATTCATTTGTATATTTATTTATTTATTTTTAGCTCCCACAAATAAGTGAGAACATGTGGTATTTCTCTTTCTGTGCCTGACTTTCTCACTTAATATAATTTTCTCTAAGTCCATCCATATTACTGCAAATGATAGTATTTCATTCTTTTTTATAGCAGAGTAGTATTCCATTGTGTAGATATACCACATTTTCCGTATCCACTCATCTGATGATGGACATTTGGGCTGGTTCCAACTCTTGGCTATTGTAAATAGTGCTGCAGTAAACATGGGAGTACAGGTATCCCTTTGGCATGATGATTTCCATTTCTCTGGGTATATTCCCAGCAGTGGAATGGCTAGGTCATATGGTAGATCTATCTGTAATTGTCTGAGGAACGACCATACCATTTTCCATAAAGGCTGCACCACTTTGCAGTCCCACCAACAGTGTATGAAAGTTCCTTTTTGTCCATAACCTCACCAGCATTTATCATGCTCAGTTTTTTGGATATTAGCCATCCTAACTGGAGTGAGATGGTATCTCAAAGTGGTTTTGATTTGCATTTCCTGAATGCTGAGTGATGTTGAGCATTTTTTCATGTTTGTTGGCCATTCATATATCTTCCTTTGAAAAATGCCTATTCAGCTCCTTTGCCCATTTTCTAATTGGGTTATTTGGTTTTTTTGCTGTAAAGTTGTTTCAGTTCCTTGTATATTCTGGATATTAATCCTTTGTCAGATGTATATTCTGCAAATATTTTCTCCCACTCTGTTGGTTGTCTTTTCACTCTGTTAATTGTTTCTTTTGCTGTGCAGAAACTTTTTAGTTTGATATAATCCCATTTGCTTATTTTTCCTTTGGTTGCCTGTGCTTTTGAGGTCATATTCATGAAGTCTGTACCCAATCCTACTTCCTGGAGTGTTTCCCCTATGTTTTCTTAAAGGAGTTTTATTGTTTCTGGATATATATTTAATTCTTTAATCCATTTTTAGTTGATTTTGGTATATGGTGAGAGGTATGGGTCTAGTTTCATTTTCCTACATATGAATATCTAGTTTTCCCAGCACCATTTGCTGAAGAGGTAGTCTCTTCCCCAGAATGTAGACTTGGTCCTTTGTCAGAGATCAGATGGCTAAAGATGTATGGATTGATTTCCGGATTCTCTATTCTATTCCCATTTATCCGAGTGTCTGTTTTTATGCCAGTACCATGCTGTTTTGGTTATCATAATTTTGTAGTATAGTTTAAAGTCAGGTAGTGTTATGTCTCCCGCTTTATTTTTTTTGCTCAGGATTGCTTTGCTATCCGTTGCCTTTTGTTATTCCCTATAAATGTCAGGATAGTTTCTTCCATTTCTGAGAAAAATGTCATTGGAATTTTGATGGGGATTTCATTGAATCTGTTGATCATTTTGGGTAATATGGACATTTTCACAATGTTAATTCTTCCGATCCAAGAGCATGGGATATCTTTCCATCTTTTTGTGTCCTCTTTAATTTTTCTCTATAGTGGTTTGTAGTTCTCTTTGCAGAGATTTTTCACATCCTTGGTTAACTTTATTCCTAAGTATTTTATTTTTTTGGTGGCTATTGTAAATGGGCAAGCTTTCTTGATTTCTGTTTCTGCATGTTCACTATTGGAGAATAGAAATGCTACTGATTTTTGTGTGTTGATTTTGTGTCTTTCAACTTTGCTGAAATCATTTATCAACTCCAAGAGTTTTTTTGTAGAGACTTTAGGCTTTTCAATATATAGGATCATGTCATCTGCAAACAGGGATAGTTTGACCTCATCTTTTCCAATCTGGATGCCCTTTATTTCCTTCTCTTCTCTGATAGCTCTGGCTAGTACTTCCAACACTATGTTGAATAGGAGTGGTGAGAGTGGCCATCCTTGTCTAGTTCCTGTTCTTAGGGAAAAGCTGAGCTTTTCCCCATTCAGGATTATATTGGCAGTGGGCTTATCATATATGGCTGTAATTGTGTTGAGATACTTTCCATCTATACCTAACATTACCCTGATACCAAAACCAAAGATACAACAAAAAAAGAAAACTACAGGCCAATATCCTTGATGAGTATAAATACAAAAATCCTCAATAAAATACTAGCTAACAGAATACAGCAACACATACACAAAATTATACACCATGATCAAGTGGGATTCATCCGAGGGATGCAAGTTTGGTTCAACATATGCAAATCAATAAATGTGATATACCACATCAATAAAATCAAAGGTAAAAACCATATGATTATCTCTATAGATGCTGAAAAAGCATTTGACAAAATTCAACATTTGTTCATGATAAAGACTCCCATATGATTATCTCTATAGATGCTGAAAAAGCATTTGACAAAATTCAACATTTGTTCATGATAAAGACTCTCTCCAAAATTCCTCTTATTTTATTTTCCCCTTTTATGAGTATCTTTCAGTCAGTTCCTTTGTTTCTACTTCTTCTTCCTATGAACTTGGACTCTTCATTTTCTAGCCATCTTCTCCTTTCTTCTACCTTCCAAACTCCATCTAGAACCCTGCCAAGAACCCCCTTTTCCAGGAAGCACATCTAAGTAAGTTAATCCACCCACTCCATCTATCCATCCATTCATCCACCACTCCGTCTGTCCATCCATCCATGTAGTCATTTATTTATTCAACAAATATTTATTAAGCATCTACTATGGCTGTAGGAGATTATCCAGAGGACATCTGCAGGTCTGAGAGTTCTTCCTATTGGAGGATATCAAGGCAGGTATGTGTTACAAATTCAGGAAGAGCCAATATTGTAAAGCAACATAGTAGTGTTTGAAATTACAAGGACCAAGTTGAAGTTCCAGCTTTTCAAGTTTTTAGTCAAGTAATATTTAAAGTTACTTTATATCACTGAGTTTGAGTTTCTTTTCAAGTTCATGCTGATTGTAAAAAATCAGATAATAAAGAAGTTTAAATAGTGAAAAATGAAAATTCTCCAGATTCTACTCCCTAGGGGTAACTATCAATTTGCTGTGTATTTTCCAGAACTTTTTCTGTACTTTGTCTGTCTAGCTATATATTTATCTTCTCCTATTTCTTCCCCACTTATTTAAAGAGGTGGGATAATAACATCAAAGGGTTTTGTGGTGAGTCAATTTGATAATGTATATAAAGTGCTTCATAAGTCATGGAAGGTGGAAATGTCCAAATTCCTTTGTACATTTCAGATTTAATATGAGGTTTTGGCCAGTGGGCAGTACTGAGTCCACTTGTGGCCCATCTCTTCTCTACAGACACATTTCTGTTTTCCAAACGTGTTGTGATCCCCAAGCTAATAGGAGGAGGAGACCGATGGCCTAACCATAAAGGAGTTCTAAGAGGTAACTAAATAGGTGTGTGGGGGACGATACAGTTAGATGTGGTAGAAAGAGCCAGATGCTGTGATCACCAAAGAGGCGATCAGGGACTGTTTTCCCTGGGCTTTTTCTGGGTGTCAAGGTGGGATCACACCTGAGGAACCCAAGATATTTCAGAGATACGACAGCAGCTTCTGTCTAGCATTTAGACAATTGGGGTCTGTTTCTTTTCATTCTTACTTGCAACTCCTTCAGGCAGAGAGAGTCTGGGCCAGCCCCGTGGCTCACTCAGGAGAGTGCGGCGCTGGTAGTGCTGAGGCTACAGGTTCGGATCCTATATAGGGGTGGCTGGTGTGCTCACTGGCTGAGCATGGTGCAGACCACATCGTGCCGAGGGTTGCGATCCCCTTACTAGTCAAAAAAAAAAAAAAAAAAAAAAAAAGTTTGGGAAGGGGGGGGGAGGTTCGGATCCTATATAGGGGTGGCTGGTGTGCTCACTGGCTGAGCATGGTGCAGACCACATCGTGCCGAGGGTTGCGATCCCCTTACTAGTAAAAAAAAAAAAAAAAAGGCAGAGAGGGTCTGATAGGGTTGGCTGGACACTATCCAATATTGACCAGTCCTGTGGGCTAGCCTTTTGCCTCAGGTGCCAGTTCCTGGGCCAGTCAGTTGAGGCCATAGTAGTAAGATTGGTTTCAGTCCCTTCCTTTTTATTTATTCGTTCTTCCAATAGTATTTTTTGAGCAACTACTATGTGCCAGGCATGATTCTCAGGGAATAAAACAGAAAGATCCTGCTCTCACAGAGATTAGATTGTAGCAAGGGGGAGACAATAATGAACATAAAAATAAGGAGATGATATAATATGTCAGAAGGTGATGAGTGTTATGGAATAAAGCAAAAATAGACCACGGGATAGGGGAGATTTAGATGCTATGGATGAGCAAACAGATTGCAGTATTAAATAGAAAAATTAAGATAGGCCTCGTTGAGATGAGAGCTGAGCAAAGATTTGAAATGAAAGTGTGAGCCTTGCTTTTATCTGAGGTGAGAGTTTTCTAGGAAGAGAAAAGCACCAGAGCAAAGAAAAGCACTAGAGCAAAGGCCTTGTGGTGGAATGCATTTTGGATTGTTATAGATTTGAAAGCCTCAAAGTACTGCCTGAAGCACCTAGAATAGTAGAAGCTGACTCTCAGGCCATCCTCTCACCATGTGACACCCTGCTTTGCTGAAGAGGTCTCCACAAGAGGGCTCTCAGTAGATGTGCCCCTTGGACTCTGGACTTCTCAGCCTCTAAAACTATAAGAGATAAATTCTATTTCTGTATAAATTTTTTAAAAAGAGTAGAAGCTTAATATAAATGAATGAATGAATAAAAGGTTACTCTCCTTGGAAAGAGTCACTTTAAGGCTCCCTATTTCAAAAGGGAGGAAGAGTTCTAAGGGAAAACTACAGAGAAGCCACCTGATATTTACCCTTTCTTCCCTGTGAAGAAGTATAAAAAATTCTCTCCAGGCCAAGTCCCCATAGGGATGGGATGAACTACATTTTGCCAAAGAGGGCAAACTACTCTTGTTGTCTAGGGATAGGTGTTACCACACTGGCCCTTCTGATTCTGCCCTCCTCCCTATTCAATGATGTATTTCTGTAGACATAGTCAGCATCCCATAGGCTCAGGGAAGAAGTCACCTTTACCTAATATTTTTTTGTTTCAGATGAGATGACCAAGACTGAAGAAAGAGAATTGGTACTAAGAAAAGACTATCCTAAGATAGTGGAACCACATGGAAAAATGTTTCCTGAACAGACCTGGGAGGTATCACACCAGGATTCCCCACATGGAGGATCCGTGGCAGGTCAGTTAGAGAGGCAGTGGGGAAGCCCCTTAGGAGAGGTGCAACACAAATGCGATGAATGTGGGAAGAGCTTTGTTCAGAGCTCGGGTCTCATTCGGCATCAAAGAATTCACACTGGCGAAAGACCTTATGAATGTAACGAGTGTGGGAAAACCTTCAGTCGGAGTTCTGGTCTTTTTAATCACCGAGGAATCCACAATGTACAGAAACGGTACCACTGTAAAGAATGTGGGAAGGCCTTCAGTCAGAGTGCAGGTCTTATCCAGCATCAGCGAATTCACAAGGGAGAAAAGCCCTATCAGTGCAGCCAGTGCAATAAGAGCTACGGTCGGCGTTCATTTCTCATTGAGCATCAGAGAAGCCACACAGGGGAGCGACCTCACCAGTGCATTGAATGTGGGAAAAGCTTTAATCGCCACTGCAACCTCATCCGCCATCAGAAGATCCACACAGTGGCTGAGCCAGTCTAGCCCTTGCTATGCAAGTTTTCCAGATCACTGGCCAAGTCGTGTGTGGTAGGGATAAGACTAGAAAATGCCTCTTCCTGTCTCCACTAAATGTGTTTGGAACAAATACTGACTTATGGCCCAGGAACTTCCTAAGAGGAAAGTGGGTTTTTGAAGCTGCTGTTTTCCTTTTTGTTCATTTACCCCTTTCCTGTACTTACTACCCTTGTCCCTCTTATTTATTCTCTTTGAGATAGCTGCTAAACTCTCCTAATAACGTAATAGACAGCACTGCTATAGTCAGCACACCTGAAAGATCTGGTATCTGTGTTTACTTCCTAAAGATAAAATAGAGTTGCTGGTGTTTTATAATAAATGGGTCTTCAGTGCTCACCATGACCAGTGCCTACATTGTAAATACCTTTTCCACATTACTGCTTCCCTCTGACACATACATGACTCTCCTTGGAATAGTGACTAGCATTGGCTGGGTGCCACACAGAGTATGTCCATTTACTTAATCATAGTTTGTCCTCACAACCACTACACAGGGAAACGAGTCGTATCATTATTCCATTTTACAGACAAGTAATCTAAGACCAGAAAATCCAAGCATCAGAGCCAAGGCTTAAATTACACCCTGACCTGAACTTTTATTTTTAGTAACCTTTTTATTTTGGAATAACTTTAGACTTATAAAAAATTTGCAAAGATAGGTAGAGTTCTCATGTTCCCTTCACCTAGCTTCTCCTGATGTTAAGATTTAACATCACATCTTTTTAGTTAAACCCTTCAGTTAAACTCTTTGACTCAAAATCCCAGTCTCTACAATGACATGCTTCATACTGGTATTATCATATTTTCTCATTTAGGCTTAGTTACCTGAAACTCCCTTAGAACTTTTCTGTCACATCTTCAGTGTATGGAAAGTCACCTGTATCCTGAGTGCGAGGCCATATCTGAGAATTGGATCACCATCCAGATAAGAAGCTACTGTCTGAAATCTCCTAAAATTCTCTTTAGTTTGCTTGGCTTAGGTCTAGAGAAAAAATTTCCTCCCTGTATATATCTTTAAGAAAATCAAAGAAAAGTTATGTAGCCGTGAGTATTCTGTTCCCAAAGAAGGCTCTTTCCCATTGAAGTTTACACATGGAGAAGAGGAATCTCCCCTTCTTAGGATTAAAACTTGAGGCTCGAGGTGCTCAAAGGCTCTCTTTGCTTCCCCTCCCTTACTGCTTCATGATTTCTCTATTAAGGCTGCAGCCCCATCTCTTTCCTTTAATCTATTTGGCTTGATGTTGGAGGTTTTCTGAGAGATGGGAGTGAAAGGAGGAAAATCCCACAGTTTGCTAGGACAACTCAGTGCATACGCAGTTTGAGCTTTGCACTGTTTTTGGTAACAAATATGTTTCACAGGGCAGCCAACTCTTAATTTGAGTTGGGGATTATTTAAACTCTTACAGAAAATTCAAATAAGCAAAAGTGGAATAGCATAGTTAACCCCCATGTACTCATCACCTAGCTTCAACAGTTATCAACTCATGGCCAATTCTGTTTCATTGATACCTCCTCCTCATTTCCTCTGGATAATTTTGAAGCAAAACTTAAAAGGTAGATGTTGATTCAAGTTGAGAGCATTAAGCAGATCTGTTGACTGAGTCCTCTCTTGATTCAAGTTTCTACTCCTTTTTTCTTGTTTTTCTACTGAGTCAGTAGCATAAGAAGTTGAATTTTATGTCAAGACCTTAATGACAGTTTTCCATCATAGGGAAAATAAATTATCTAATACACAGCATTACCTAAAAACTGGAAAATTCCAGCTTGAACTGAGATCCATTTCCCTCCTTCTGCATCAGGGAAAAGTTCTACACATTGTGGGAAAGCCCCAGAGGAATTTCCATGTCATAGAAGGTTTAAAAGATAAACTCCAGAATCATCTGATAGGAATGTTAAATATAAAATACCTTCCTATACCAAACAAATGGTCCGAGGAGTAGTTATTACTGATTACATTAAGTGTCTTGAGTGAGTTCAAAAGTTCAAAAATTAGCATGTTTTCATCCTTTCTTATGTCTCCATTCCATATGGTATAGTGAATAAGGATGGACCAGGGATCAGGATCACCAGGATGGAGTCCATGCACAATCAATTCTAGCATGTGAGACCTTGGATAAGTCACTTGGTTGGACTTCCTAGAAGCAGAGCCTAGGCACAGATTCAGGTCCAGGGGATTTATTGAGGACAAATAAACTGCAGGGGAAAAACTGCAAGGCAGTGAGGGAAACAGGATATGGAAAAGGAATGGGCTGAACAAGATGTTGTTTGAGCAAAAGTCTGGCCTTAGCCTAATTTGGAGGAAGGGTTTCTGGGAAAAATCTTGCCCTTGAGGTGAGGGGCCAGCCTTTTGTACCCCCAATTCCTCATTCACGGAGGGCTACCCCAAGAGAGTAGAGCAGCTCCCTTTGTCCAAGGACAGTTCTTCAGAGAAGGAGGCAGCTATGAGCAATTAGCAACCAATGCTCATGACAATCAGGGAATGGGGGCACTGACTTGGTGAAGGGGACCTGGGCATGATACCACTGGTGTCTGTCTCTCTGTTTAACCTCTCAAGGCCTCAGTTTCTTCACGTATCCTACTACTTTGCAGGATTGTTCTGAGGAACAGTAGATAGCAGTTATATGAAAGGATGTTGTAATCCATCGAATGCTACATTGAATGAGTAGAAGGAGATATTACTACCAGATTTGAATGTGATATATCAAGGCAAAAGGAGGATCTGACGTAGTGGTGAGACTTGTAAATTAAAGTTTTTGTGGAGCTTTTTATTTTACCTCAGATTTTTTTTAAAAAGTGTATTACAGACTACACTCACATGGATTTTAAAAATAAATTAATATTAAAAAATAAAGGCTTGTGTGTTGAATGAAATTCTGTTTCCCATATATGTTTATACCCAAACTAATCATTTAATGCATGTGTAAATTCCATTTGTTATGCAACAATCTCTTAACTAAATCTATCTAAATGTTCTCTAATCCTAATTTCTTTCTTTTGAAGAAAAATAAAGGCTTGTGTGTTGAATGAAATTCTGTTTCCCATATATGTTTATACCCAAACTAATCATTTAATGCATGTGTAAATTCCATTTGTTCTGCAACAATCTCTTAACTAAATCTATCTAAATGTTCTCTAATCCTAATTTCTTTCTTTTGAACTTAGCTATGTAATTAAGTCTTCTTTTGGTATACATTATTCGGTATTTCCCTGTGTTTGTTAACCATGTTAACATTTGATGATTTTTTATAGTTATAAATTATTAAAATTAGCCCCAGAAAAGACAGAAACTTTAAAAAAACTATATATTTTTTAGAATCGAGTTTCATTGAATATGATGAAACATTCCAAGAAACAGTGGCTTAAATAAAATAAACTTCGTATACCTCTTTTATAAAACAAGTGTAGATCTATAGCATTGTAGGGTGACTATAGCCAACAATTTATTCAATATTTTCAAATAGCTAGAAGAGAGGGTTTTAAATGTTCCCAACACAAAGTAATAAATGAGGTGATAGATATTTTAATTACCCTTATTTGATCATTATACGGGTATTGAAATATCACACTGTACAATGATAAATTATATAAATATGTACAATTACTATGTGTGAATTAAAAGTAATATTTAAAAAAGTGTAGATACAGTTCAAGGCTGGTATGGCCGCATCATGATGTCATCAGGGGTGCAGGCTCACACATTTCTGGTAAACCACCGTGGTGTCTAGTGACATTTCTCAAGATGAACTAGAATTCAGTGAGGTTGCTGGAGTTCCAGCCATTGCATCTACACTGTAGAAATAAAGGAGTGAGAAAAGCAGAATGAAAAAAGTCCAGTCCTAGCTGACTATAGTCACTTCTTTGAAAGTCCCACATAACACCTCTACTAATGTTCCATTGACTTGAACCTAGTCTCAAGACCACAATCAGTTGCAAGGAAGACTGAGAAACATTGTCCTTTATTCCAGTGGCAAGGTATCCAGCTAAAATCAGGGTTATGACTCTGACGAGACAAGGGGAAATGGCTGTTGGGTAGACAACAGAAAAATTGTCAGAGATTTACCCCCCAAACAGCACCTAGTACAGAGAATTTCACAGGTAAAATCTATAAAAACTAAGAAACATAAAACTTCATTTAAACTTTTCCAGAGCATACAGAAAAAAGGAAATGATTCCAAGTTCTTTTTAGAAAATACAAGTTAATGCCATATTACATTGATATTAAAACCTCTCGGGCCGGCCCTGTGGCTCACTCGGGAGAGTGCGGTGCTGGTAATGCTGAGGCCAAGGGTTTGGATCCTATATAGGGATGGCCAGTGCGCTCACTGGCTGAGCGTGGTGCAGACCACACTGTGCCAAGGGTTGCGATCCCCTTACCGGTAAAAAACAAAAACAAAACAAACTCTCAAAACTAGCACAAAGAGAGAAAACTAACAACCAAATTGACTTATAAATATTGGTGCAAAAATCCTAAAGAAAAATTAGCAAAAAGATTCATAGCACATTAAAAGAATAAACTATGACTGATAAAAATGTAACATCTGTTATTAATTAAACTAGAAATAGATAATAAAAACCATATGCCTTAGAGGCAACATCCAAAATGGCAACATGAGATGCTCCATGGACCCATTCCCCAGTGTAACAATCATAGCTGGTGAAAACTACCAGTTAAAGTTTCTGAAAATTGTCCTAAGAGCATACAGCAAATGAGGAAACATTTGTTCAGGAACAATTTTTGTAAGAACAATGAGTGTCTGTGGCATTTGTGCCACGATCTATTTCCTATCCTGCCCCTGAGCCTCACTAGCTCAGCATGAGGAAAGCTCGAATCTGGGTTGATGTGTCCAAGAATATAGGGAACCTCAAATCCCCAAGTTCCCAGTGGAAGCTAAGGTATTACCCCATGATGGACAGGGCACCAGCGTTTCTTCTGCTACCCAAACTCTGTGTTGCACAGGCTGTATTCCAGGCAAGCATGACTGAAATGTCAGGAGCTCTTTCCTCCACCCATCGATCATTCATAGGGAAGAAAGAGGCTCTACCTCAGGCATGGCAGGCTGAGAATAATAAGGCCCTAATTGCCCTTGTACCAGCTCACTCATAGGGCAGAGGTTCCATGTTGGAAAGACTAGAGGCTACTGCCCCCCGCCCAGCACCCTGATCATAATGCAGGTGTGTCACTGAGGAAAGTGGGCCACTGTCCCTTTCCCCAGCTCCAGAGCAGTGGTTCAAAGATTTTGCCCAGGAAGAGGGGCAGGCCATAAGAGCAGAGTAGTCTGAAGTTCTTTCCAACAGAACTAACTATATTTGGGGCAGATTATGGGAAAGTTCAAGCCTAAAGT